AAGTGAGGAAACTGTGAGCTATCATATTCGAAATAATCCTACTGTAATAGCAGCACTAGTATTAAACTAAAAACATCATAAACAACGCAGAAGAAAGCATAATGCTTAGCATACTATCATTAAGTGCCCAGAATCAGGCACAAAATTTGGATTAGATGTGTATTGTCAGCTGTAGGATGCATATGAGTTTGTCATCCTCGCACCTGAGGTCCAGGATCTGAGCAAGCAATTGCCTTTTCAGCGTAGCAGCAACGTTCGTAACGTTCAAGGATCTTTTCCATGCTGCATAACAAACAATATTATTATTCTTCAAGGATCTTTTCCAAAGTGCATCAAGCATGAATTTACGTAGTTTATCTTTTCCAGGAAGGAACGCCAATAAAATTTTGTAGACAATCTATGTATTCGATTTTACATTTGTGGAGATTATCATTAAAATTTTAAAAAAATTGGAATAAATTTCCAATTTCAACTGCTGGAGACATGTTGTGAATTAGAGGATAATAACATTGAAGGAAAAAAAACATATTGCACAAGTATGCAGTTTCATCCATCGATGAGACTTTAAAGTTGCATATCTTCTTTTGTTTTACCCTCGCCTCCTGGTAAATTTGGCAGTAAACATCTGAAATTATTCACAATATCCTCATAGAGAATCATTAAGTCAAGTCATACATATATATAAACCATCTCGAGAGCAATCATCTAGGAAATGGAAAAGGATGGCCCTAATAAAAGATGTATATAAAATGCACCAAGGGCATGGTTAGGTCAATGGGTTACATTTATGTGTTCGTAGGGTTTGGAACCTGCACTACATTTCTGACCATCTGAAGTAGCTTCAAAGTAAACTAGCTTCATAGTTTAAACTTAATCTTTCCATACTAAGAAAAGATTTGCCATCCTTATAGAAGGAATGGTGGATGTTAAGCGATTACTTTCTCTCAAATGACAAAAGATGGCGAAAGGTTTATGAATAACTAGAAATAACCTCATGTACACATTCTTTATCACAATTTAAAATTGCAAAAGAAGCAACAAACACACTGATATTAGAGGAAAACTTCGCCCTCCATCTAAATTCAATACTTCATAATTATGATATAAACAGCAAAACAATATAATTAATAATCTATTAATGCCTAAGAGGTGATTTGGCTATACATGTAACATTCATCTTAGGGACTAGTACCAGAAGGGTACGTACGCTACACAACCCGTGTCCGCTAGAGAGATTAGTTGAAGCTTCAAGAAGCCTTTTCTTCGAGGGTAAAACAAAACAATAAGTACAAGATTACATACTACAAGTTACTGAGACTTAATTATTTTCAACTATCTCTAAACAGATAATGATACTTATAGGAGTAAGAAAAAGAATAAGAACACCAAGGAATAGAAACCCTAGAACCGCTTGAACAAGGCAGGAGACTGATCGAGGACTCACTAGGAATCCGCCTCATAATGAATTGCAGTAAATCTAATTGACAGCCGTAATCGCCATCCGATCAACTCTCTAATTGTGGTCGCACTCTCCCCGAAACAGGAAAGAACAAACCAAGGGTTACGAGTACCGATTTAGTTCATGTGCCTCATCAAACCATAGCAGTATGGTTCAAGAACACGAAACAGACTGGATGGCGCGGTGTTCACATAAGCTGAATCTAAATCCTCACTCATTTTTCATCTGATGTTGCTTCAAAATCTTTAGGAGATGCAACTTATGTTGTAGCATCGGCGACGATGACAGGAAACGAAGCACTCCAGAATCGAACTCGGAAAACTAAGAAGAGGCGACAGGAGAAAGTGCAAGGGGAGAGGAGCCGCACCAGGAGTTGCTGGCGTACTCATAGAGCTTGCCCTCGGCGGAGAAAATGATGAGGGAGACCTCGGCATCGCAGAGGACGGAGATCTCGTGGGCCTTCTTCAGCAGCCCCGATCGGCGCTTGGAGAAGGTCACCTGGCGGTTGATCTTGTTCTCGATCCGCTTCAGCTGCACTCTCCCCCTCCCCATCTCGCCCTCGATCGATCGACCCAAAAAGATCGAGCGAGAGGGATGGCGAGTACTCGACGAGGAAGGAGGCGGTTTTATGGAAACCGGTGGTAAAGAGCGCGCCACGTTGTCGGGTTCCAATTGGTTGCATCGTTTCGACTCGTTCTAGTTTGTTCGTGTGCGTCGTGAGAGACACAAGTGGGTCACGACTTGGGGCGAGAAGTGTCGGAAGAGACGGCCTATCTTGTCTCACATCGTACCGGATCCTCGTCTTTACCGTACGATCGCCAACAAATATAGTATTCCTTCGACACGCAACAGGGAAATTTCTCAACGGTCAGCTATTAGACGGACACAGTCACCCCTGAAAGCTGTCAGGGATTATGTCAACTCTCTCACACGCTTCTTAAAATGGATGACGTGGATTTTGTTATTTTATTTTTATTGATCCCAGACTTAGTAACCATCTTAAATGGGATTTAAATATTTTTATTAATTTTAAAATATATGAAATATGTATTCGAGGTAGGTTTGGGTTTTGATTGGATTTTTTCATATATTTGATTTTTTATTAAGTTAATTTGAGTTGAAGTATTTAGAATGAATTACGCAAGGAAAAAAATAATCTTCCGTAATGGTGAGCATTGAATGCTCCTTAAGTTGTAACACAATAAATTTTAAGCTCAATCTTATTAATTTTTAAAAGGATAGTTTGTATCTTCAGATAATTATGAAAATTTTAAAATTATCAAAGTATAATACATTATGAATTTAATTTATATTATAATTTATGTTTGACTTTTAGTAAATTGTGATAGGAGGAAGGAAGGAAGATTGATGGTACATTTTTATTTTTGAACCTTATCAAACTTTTATATTTTGACCTATTAGCTATTATTTATCTCTAAAAAAGAAGAGTTCTTTTTTTTGTTTCTTTCTTCTTCTTTTTTTCTCGCCCTCTTCTTCTTTCTTCATTTTGTTTCATATTATTTGGTATCAAAATCTTATTACGCTCTTAAAGTATTTTCTTCTTATGACTACTATAAGAAGTAGAGGACGATGTGATGAAAAAAAATGATGTAACCAGATAGAGATGAAAAGGATGCAGAAATTGAAGAGTTTACTATGCGCCTCGAACATCAAGAGACCCATTACTTTAGAGGCTCAAGTTATAATTATGCAAGTGATGGATTTGAATATATGAATCCCTTTGCATCTAAAGAAGCTGTATGAGCTCATCCATGGAGAGGTTTTTTCATACAAATGATAATATTAAGATTGAGTTATCGGAGTTTTATAGTCGACTTCAACTTGAAGAGTTTTTTTATTTGTTTAGTACCGTTGAAAATTTGTTTTGAGAACAAGCATATGTTGAAGACCAATAAATAAAATTAATGGCTATAAAGCTTCGATGTTAAGCTTCAATTTGATGGGACAAGGTAAAAGAGATACGCCTTTGGAAAGAAAAGAAGAAATCTTGACTCTACGAGAATTTTCTTCCATCTAATTATCTAATTATGTTTAAAATCTTTTTTCATAATATAATAATATTTAGAAAAATAGCAAGAGATACCCAAATATAAATAAAAAATAAAAATAATTACTACAAGGCTTCGATATTATGCTTTAATCTGGTGGGACAAGATACAACAAATGCACATTCGGAAAAGGAAGAAGATTTCATCTTGAGAGAAGATGAAATAACATTTTTTTAAGAATTTTTTTCTATTTGATTAAGTTTAAATTCTCTGTTCAAAATTGTTACTGACTACAAGTTAATGGATCAAAATAACACTCAAAGTGATGAAAGAATAACTTGTTGCAAAATATGTCCACTACCTACAAATTATGATTCGAGATGGTGTGAAAATACAACTATGGAGGTTATATAATACTTATCAATTAGCGCTAAAAGTTGAAGCAAAACTTGCTAGAAATGGAGCATAAAGGTATTCTAATGTTCATTTACAATTTTTTTTTAAAGCTTTCTACTCCTTATAAGGTTAGTAGATTAAAAACTAATTAAATTATGAAAAAGATATCCAAACTAACTTCTATCAATCGTGGAGGATAATCTAGTTGCACTACACACCTTTCTACTTTAAATGCAAACAAGTAGGACACTACATAAATAAGTGCCCAAATAGAAGCTAATGCTTGAGTCAATTTTGTCGAAGAAGAAAGAGTCAATGAACAACTTAAAGATATTGGAAAACCAATATATGATGAATACCCCAAGAAGATTTCTAAAGAAATTACACCCGAAGAAGGTAAATACTTGTTAATTCATAGAGCACTTGCTATTCCGATGAATAATTCTAACGAAGAATGGTTACAAAATAATATTTTTAAGATATGTTGTAAGTCTTGAGATAAAGTTTGTTCTCTTGTTATTGACAATGGTAGTTATGAAAATATTATATCTTAAGATGCGATAGACAAGCTCAAGCTCAAATTCAAAATAGAATCACATCCTAAACCATATCATATTAAATGTTTCAAGAAAGGTAACGAGATATGAGTTGCTGATCGATGCCTAATTATTTTTTCAATATGTAAAAATTATAAAGATGATAGGTAAAAATTATAAAAATAATCTTTATAAAAAACAAAGATTATAATTTTTATATTTTTTTATTAAAAATATATTAAATAATATTTTACGAAAATATATTTTATAATATTTTTATAAATATTTTTTATTAAAAATATAACGAACTATCAAAGTCTTTATTAAAAATAATGAGATGACTTTTCCGGAAAGCCACATCACTAGAGAAAGTTTCAAGGTTGACTCACTCTGGCTACCGGGCACTGTTGGCACGAGCGCCACGTTTCATGACACAATCGACCGTGCTTATTGGCGCGTCGAGTATATTATATATATTGTGATTTTATTTCGTGACCACCCGGCTCGGCTCGGCTCGAGCCGAGATGCGAGCCATGCCTATCTAGCTCAATACTGTATCAAATCAGGCCGAGTCGAACCGATTGCATCGCCGGCCCTTTCTGCTCTACGGGAGAGCCGACGGAGTCGTGACCCGCTCATATGCCGTGTTTCCACGGTTCCACCAACCTCGGTGCATCATTCTGCATCAGATCTACGCGAGGAGCCGCGGAAGCGAAGGAAACTGAGACTGGAGACGCGATGAAGGAGGCGACGAGCGATCCGAGGCAGCCGTCCACGGCGAAACCCTATGTCTCTGCCACGCTTTCGCCGCAGGATCTCCCCATCGACTACGCCGGCTTCCTCGCCGTCGTCTGCGGCGTCGTCGGCGTCACGTTGCGTGTACTAGTCTCTCTACTCGATTCCTTGTTTGTTGCTTAGGCTTTTCTTTTCCTTTCGCGTCGAAATTTATTGGATCTGCCATGTTTTGCCCTTCTTGTTTGTGACAACAATTATCGAGATCGATGCCTAATCTCTTCTTTCGCATGATGAAAGTGCGCGATTTCTTTAATTTAAGCGTACTTTATGGATGAGAACAAAGGAATCTTTCTTCCATTGATTGGTACGCCCACGATTTACTCTCTTCTTCTTCCTTGGGATCTTCTCCATCGGATTGAACAACGTGGATGAAGATTTCGGAGTTACCGGTGCCCTAAATGTGAGGATACCACCCATTCTCATTTAGAGAGAAAGTTTAAAGATCATACAATAGCAACCAGCAATTGTGTCATAACTGTTTGGGTTACATAGGTGACTATCATGTAATATCAGAGTAAAATGGCCTCAATCCTTATATTTAGCTGCAAGTTTTGACCTTTAGGTTCTCACAAACTTGGAGCAGGTAAAATTGGTCGTTTGACTTTCTTCTTCCCCCTATGAGCAATTCATAGAACGAACTGTCAAGATGAGCAGTTTGAAGATGATGATGCTAATTGTAGATATCAGGTAAAGCTGGTTCTCGAATGTAGATAAAGGCTTAAGGTCGTATCTGATCGTTTCATGCTAATTGCACATCGTCTCATAAAGAATCACAACTGTTTACTTTTAGGTATACGTAAGTTGGACCATAGGGAAATATTCTGTGAATCAATTCTGATTCGAAGAATGCTTTCTACTATGATTTTACGATGACATGGCAGATCCAATCAGCTTGTTCTGTCATTTTCTGACATGTTGGCATCCACGTGTCATCTCGATAGAACTGTGAATCTGGCCGTATCAATGGCAATCACGACTTTGTGGAGGCTTTCTCCCTTTTTATTTGCTTAGATAAAGTATATGTGTTAGTAGCATTGGAAAAATAAGAACAAAAATAGATTACAAAACACGTTCTAGACGATTTTATTAAAAGTTAAATCAACATTCTGGTTTTAAGTAGTAACATTACTATAAATCAAAATCTATTAAGAGATGTAAATCACTTGCATGATCATGGGATATGACATCGAGTATTGACATATGTCAATCTTACCCTAGCATGTCTTATACACGTTGCATTTCTATATATCATATATGTATGCAAAAAGATTTAGGCTATATACCATTCTTAGATATCTTCGGTATGCATCATTCTACCTAGAATGGTTTTCAGACATACTTTCTGTTTTTCTTTTTCCTGCCAAAACTGTAAACAGGACTTCCAAAAATTCTTGAATGTTGTCATTATAACATTTTTGTTTTGTTATGGTGATGTATATTTGCCATCGTTTCTCTTCGTCTCCTCGACAGGGATTCTATGCTTGATTGCTCATACACTATAATTTCCACCATCACATTCAGTTTTGTCTGGTTAGTAAATTAGTTAGTTATAAAGAACTATGATAGGATTTAGCTAGTTGGTCATTGCTTATGCATGTATACTTCAGAAATGATGAATTTGCTTTCCCTGCAGTACAAACTTTGTTCGTGGCTGGCCATTATCTTCTGTGCTCAGTCTCTTGCAAACATGAAGAATTTTGAGAACGATTTTAAACAGTTGTCTATGGCTTTTATGTAAGTAACAATCTGGATCTACTTCTCTTGTAAATTCGTGTCGGCTGATTTCTCGCAACGCATGAGCATCAAATGTTCACTTGTGGAGTAACGAAGACTTCCACGCTGCTTTTCTTGTATCGACCTAACTATTGATTTTTTGCCAGGTTTGGAATCATGGGATTGGTTACAAATTATTTGGGGCCTTCACGACAGGCGAACAAGCAGCGCTAATTTCGTCTAATATTCTTCATAATCACCCATCATTTATCATGTGATTTGTGGAAGCTTGATATGAAGAGGTGTTTTCAGGTTTAGACTCAGGTTGCTTTTTCTATGTAATGCAGACCCTATTGCTTCTTCTGTGTCACAAGAAGCTATACTTTAACAAGTTTGATTCCAATATTTAAATTTGGTTTGTTTGTTTCTCTTGTTGATACCACATATGTGATTTGAAGTCCCTTATCTAAATACCATGTATCTTCTTTTAAATTATTATAACTTATTAATAAAATTTAATTTTTATTATTTATTTTTTAGTAAAATTTGTCTTATCATCTTGATTGTTAGAATTATAATAACATTTAAAGGAGTAGTATCCATACCTTTTACAAATATAACATTATATTTTGTACATTTTAAATTTTTATAATGTCCATGGCCTCGACCACATCTTTACCATAACCTTAGTTTCTTTGGCTAGAATTTTCTCCGTCATTTTCATTATTTTAAGATTTTTAATTAGTCTCCACCTCTTCATTTTTGTTCACGACCTCTTTCATTTTGATTCATCTTAGTTTTTAAGAGTAAGTTCCGTTTATAATACTTGCTTTATAGATTTTTTTCTCCTCTTATTGTAAGCTTTTATTCATGAACTTAAATAGAACCTATTAATTGTTCTAAAGATATTTGTTCTAAATCTTTTGACTCTTCAATTGTTATAACAATAAAATTAAACTTTGACTATGGAGATCTTAATATTTTTTCTATTACTCTTTGATCACTTATTTGTTCATCATTTAGTCTTATTTGATGAACAATAGAAATAATATTTGAGAAGTAATCAGAAATAAATTCAGAAGTATCTTGCTATAATTTTTCAAACTCTAACTCATAAAACTTGTACATGAAGGTTTTCTACCTTATCCACACTATCAAATACTTTTTAAAATATTTTTTAAACTTCTTTAGAAGTATTTGCTGGAGCAATAATCTTGAATATTGTATCATTAAACCCTTGGTAGATAGTGAATAAAGTTTTTTTCTCCTTCTTCTTTTTATCTTTGAGTTATTTTCTTACTTCTGCATTCATTGCTCTTTCTATCGGACTTGGATCTACAAATTTATCTTCTATAAATTCTCATATATCTTGGGAGCCTAGAAGGACTTTTATTTAGATGCTTCATGTATTATAATTTTTTTTTGTCAATCTAAAGATATGGAGTTGGATAGTGCTTGGGAAAGAAGCCATAACGTAACTTAACTTTGATACCAAAGTTTGATTTTATTATTAAAGCGATTAAAGAGTCTAAAGGTTCCAAACAAATATCTTTAAAATAACTAATTAGTTCTTTTTAAGTTCATGAATAAAAGCTCACTGAAAGAGGATAAAGAAAATCTATAAAGCAAACACTATAAACCAAACTTACTCTTGAAAATAAAAATGAATGAAAATTTCAAAGAGGAAAAAGTGATAAAAATCAAACCACCTGACGCGAGGTGGTGTTAAATGGTGCTCGAAGAAAAGGCATAGCTTAATTATTTAAAATCTTCTATTTCTCTCCAAGTTTTTCTCAAAGTTTATATATATATATATAATTATTTAAAATAAATTTTTTTTTTATAATTGTTTAAGAATTAATAATTAATTTGATTTGTCCGAACCTCTCTCTTGATATAAATCTCTTTATAAGTTCTTAAAAGGTTCAATTCTAACATGAAGGGAATTTGTGCTTGATAGCTACTAATCGTGTGGCGGCTTTTACCGAGGAAAAGATGAATGACGTGATGTTGGCGAATGCAGCGATGGCACTGCGATCGAAAACGACCAAAGGGGGGGTTTGATGCATGTGGAAGAGATTGCGAGAGCGATTAGATGTTTGATGAAAGGAAAGAAAGGGAAGAAGTTGTGACAGGAGTACCGAGCATTCGAAGGGAGATGAAATTAGGTGAGGAAGTGAGGTTTGTGCACATCAATCAATTTGGATAGATATAATAATCTAAAATGACACCCGCCCTATTGAATCTAACCGTCCACGTGGAATCATCTAACGGCCAGTATGACCCCCACGCCGACGATACTTTTGGATATTTATGGGAAAGCAACCCTAATCCAATGTTGCGGCGGATTCCGATCTCTTGGAAGCTCTCATCTCGCGCCTGCTCGTCCTCCGCCCTCAGGTCTACGAATCTCTTACCCCATTTCCCTATCTTTCCTTCTCCATCGATCTCGACGAGCTCTCGTGTAAGTCTCTTCTTCGATCCTGGCCTCATCCGTCCGTCGATTCTTCGTTCCTTTGTTTCAGTGACCATGTCGGACGAGGAACATCATTTCGAGTCGAAGGCTGACGCCGGGGCGTCCAAGACCTACCCACAGCAAGCTGGGGCGATCCGGAAGAACGGGTACATCGTCATCAAGGGGAGGCCGTGCAAGGTTCCTTGTTCGCCCGCGATGTATTTCTAGATCAGTGATATCTGTCTCATTTGGTCAAATCTGTCCTTCCCATGTGTTTGATTTGAATGTATTAAAGATTTATATTCGTTTGATTCACCTTAACTGTTTGCAATTCGCTGTGGTTCTTATTTTCTATTAGATTGATTGTTTAATTCGTGACATTTCGTGGTGCAATATCTAGATTCCTTGGGTTCTTAGGATTTTGATCATCCTGTTTAGATAAACGGTGCTTTCTATTCTTCTCCTAGGCTTGTATGGTTATGTATGTCGAGGGTGACCTCGTTTAAGGATGCTAGAAATCTGTAGGGAACGGGATCCATTTATGTCATGAACTCATGCTCTACATTTTTCTTATGTGAATGTTTAATAGCTTATGAATGGTTACTTGCTTGCAAGTTGTACAGCTATTCATCTAATGAAATTGAATTTGCAGGGTCTGAAAGAAGTCCTTTCATTAGTGGAGTTAGCTGAACGCATGCAGTGAACCTATTTCCTGTAGCTTTTTTTTTTTTTGTGGCTAATTGGATTTGTGAAGAAGAAATGTGTCGAGGAGCAACTAGAAGTTAGGGGCTTCATTTAATTTCCAGTCAAGAAAAAAAATGCTCATGACAGATGGGAGACACTAATATTGTTTGATTTCCAATTTTTTCTTTAAGCTTGATACTCATTTGACCCATTTCAACTAATGGCATGGGTTTTTGACCTTGGGAAGCAGTATACAACTATCTATGCTCATGGAGCACTTTTTGATTAATATTAATGACATTTCACTAAAGTTCAAGTGCTTTTCCTTGGTCTATCATGAAGTTTGCACATTTTTTGGTTTCTTTTGCTCTTCTTCTAGCAACACAGAATGCATGAATACATGATTGTTTCTAAATGTTCTACAGTGGTTGTTCCTATGATTATAAACAACTTTGTTCTCTTATTGTTTACTAGGTTGTTGAAGTTTCAACCTCGAAGACTGGGAAGCACGGTCATGCAAAATGTCATTTTGTTGCCATAGACGTCTTCAACGCAAAGAAGCTTGAGGATATCGTGCCATCCTCACACAACTGTGATGTGTGTTATTTGATATATTGGAAAATGTTAGTTTCATTTTGAATGTGTCTTAGATATTTGAATTTGTTTGGTTTATTTGCAGGTTCCTCATGTCAATCGCACTGATTATCAACTGATTGACATCTCGGAGGATGGATTTGTATGTTGTAATTTGTTTCTTTATGTTTTCCCGGTTGTTTAATATATTTTGTAGTTAACACTTGGTTGCATATTTAAGGTGAGCCTTCTGATGGAAAATGGTAACACCAAAGATGATCTGAGGCTTCCAACTGATGAGACTTTGCTTGCACAGGTTTGTCAGGGCGATTTATGTTTCTACTATTTTCCTTTATTTTTTGAGCATCTAATGAATTTTAAGATAAAACTAATGCCTCAATTCTTAAATAAATCATTTTTTCCTTGTATTGGAACACCACAAAAAAGTCAAGAAATTTTTTTCATGGCCTCCTAATTACAAATTTAGTTAAAGATGAGAGTTGACCTCATAAGAAAATTTAGATTGTAAATCATATATACTTGAACTGATTACCAATTTAGGTTCCTTTTTTACAAATGAAAATGACAAAAAAAGTATGGATCTTATGGGGTGCGTGCAGTTTAGTTCTATGATTATGTGCCTGCATAATGGTGTTCTTTGGGGTTTTCATTGGTAAATCTCAGGTTGCGTTGATCAAGGCTTTTAATCTCATACTGTATCTATGTACTGAGCTTTGCTCAGTATGGTATTGTCCCGACACACCGAGCGGTATCCCTAAAATAGGAATAAAACCCTCCAAAAATACTTGAAAAAGTAAAAAAAAATAGGATAGGTTCTTTTAAGTTAGAAATAAATATACATTTATTATAGTTTTAACAAAACTAATGTAAATTAGGTAAGAAGAGTGTCATATATTTTTTTCGGGCTTTGAGGAGTAGCCTTGTGCAAGGTTCATAATTTTGGTTCATTTCGGATCGTTCTTTCGTTAATATTGAATTATCTATAGAAAAATTATTTAAATTATTAGATTATTTTGTATACAACGTAAATTTTAAGATTCAAATGAATTAATTAATCACATGTATAGATATATTTGATTTCACCACCAAAACGAACAATGGGTCTCCACGGGTGGTGGATCGGGGTCCTTGATCCTATGCATTTGTCTATCAATATGATATGTTTGTCAAACCCAATTTTGAAATTGGTCTCACGATAGTATATTGATACATCGTATGCCATTGATGCATCAATGTGGTGATGGTCGTAGGTTGATTATCGTGAATCACATGTGTTTGAGGTGGCTCTTGAGGGTATTGGTGAATGTCAGGACTTTTATTTTTGCTATTGATCTGTTGTTCCGTATCATACTGTTGTTTAGATAAGTATGACCAACTATCACTGTACTATTGTTGGTTGTAAAACTCTCCATAATACGACGACCGGGAATCCATACCTCTTGATTAAAAAGTTCTTCCTCTTAATTTTCTCAAATTAACCTCTTAAATTTGATTCAATCTATAAATCATTGTTTTATTGAGTTTAGGGGAGTGAAAATATGATAATAAGAGAGAGATTGTGAGTAAAAATGAGTTTGAAGAGTCTAGAATACCTCGTATGGTCAAATTGACTATTGGAAAATCGTTATCAATGGTCGGTTTCGATCATTACCGCCCGGTACAGGTCGGTAACGATTGAAATCGATCGGTATCGCTC